AATTAATTAAATTAAAAACACCCCACCTCAATCACCTCCCGATGGCTGGAGGATCCTGGGAGCTGTAGTGCAAGAACATAACTTCGCCAAGCGCCGGTGCAAGAGCTGCGAGAGCGTGTAAAAAGGTGTGGCTATAAAAAAAACCTTCCAGTCCATGGACGCTGGAGGAAAAGTAGCAAGCGGGCACCTAACAAGATGTCTTCTGCCAAAAAACAAACAAACAAAAAAAACACCAGTGACTTTCCTGGAGTTTTCGACAGTTTTATTTGCTTACCATGCACACATTTAAATTAAAAGAGAGAGAAGTGTTAAAAGCACAAAACTCTTGTTGTCCTGGAGATAAAGGTCAGCCCTAGAGTAGAGGCTGGACTGGGTGGAAACAAGCTTGCAGTTTGCTTGGAAATTCTCTTGAGAGCAATGGCAAAGCTGGATTCTTCTTCTGGACTTCTGTTTTATTTTGCTGTCTAGCTGCTGGCTTTTCTCCCTCCATGACTGTGGAGGAAAGTCATAGTAGTAGGCAACGGGGGTCCAGATTGACTCTCATCAAGGAATTTGTCTGCATCCAGACACATTTGGGTTCAGTACGGGGCATCACCTTCCTCTCATTTCCAAGGGAATGTGTCTCATTGTGACCAAGCAAGCGACTTGGTGCCTTAGCATGCCCATTTCAGACTGCAGTCTGAACTATCCCATCCCTCTGTGTATCTGTTCCAGAATGAGGGCAAGTTAGATGGGGGATGAGAGTGCAAGATGTTTTATCGCCCTCCTGCCTACAAACAGCTTGCCCTTCAAAACTCTACTAGAGATCCACCCTTCACATCGGCTGCCTCTGTCCAATCTGGAGAGCCGGTCCTGAAGCGTTGGTCTTGTAACTAAGACTGAAGTCTTGCGTGCCATGACCTGGAAACAAACCTCTCTGTCTTAAACCTGCTCTTGGATACAAAAGTGGGCCACGATCAAGGATTGAAATGGTCCTATTTGCTTGATTTGTGTGCTGCAGTCATTTGATTATTTCCCCAGAATTAAGTAATCCCCAGTTACTCCCTTTGCCTCACTGTATGAGGATTTTAGCACAGTGTGCCCACTTGGGTCCCTTTACTCCTAATAATCCTCCTTGCAGATCCTTTGTCTATTCCAAAACTGCCTTCCTTTAAGGTCTATATAAAGCTTTTCAGGGGCACTGAAGGTGCTGCTGGAGTTATCCCCAGTGCAGCCTCCCTCCCTCCGGCTCAAATAGCAAAGTTCAAACTAGAAGAGCAGAAGGAGCAAAGGGCTTCCCTTGATATCTGCCTGATAGCAAGTCAGTAGGGCACAGGGCATGGCGGCCTGCCCACCGAGCCCATGGTGCTCTTGATAGGCACTGCATTTTTCTTAGGATTGTATCATCCAGAGTACTGTACGGAGGTTGAGTTCCTCCCTCTGGAGAGAAATCTCAGACAAAACAACTAGAATATCCCCAAAGTAAGATTTTTGCACTTTCAAAGTTACTACATATGTAGACAGCCCAAATTAGGCAAGTCACACCTTCCCCAAGATGCTGGGAAAGGAAGATGCGGATTCGTGATGTGGACTTATTTGACATTACAGTACATGTCCTGTGGTATCCATGCGACTGAAAAAGACCAGGAGACAGAGGCTGAAAATGTTAATGTTTTGGATAACAAGTCCCAGAATCCACCAACCCGGAATCAACCCCACCCTGACTGGAACCACAAAAAGCAACGTTTTTTCCAAGCTTTTCCGGTCATTCAAACTCCAAGCCGGTGGGAATGTTGGAGCAACCTCTGCCCTCGTGATATTTGGCTAGAATGCATCACCAATCAACATTTTAACCCAAAGGTTTAGTCTGAGCTTTGGTGATGCTAACCCAGGAGCCAATGCTCAGGACTACTGGAAGTGTGCCTTGCCCAGTTTATTCACAATTCAGACAATTCTTGTAGGAAGGTCAGTAACACCAACCCTTCAGAGAAACCATCCGGGTATAGAGTTGGGAGACATGGCCCTCTTGCACTAGATCATATGTTGGTGAAATGCTATGCCTCAGTTTGACAAGAAGTAACGGAGGTGGGGAATAAGAAGATACAGCCCAGGTCGGCATGTGGCCCAAAAAGTAACTAGCAAACGTTGGCCGAGGGATTAATACCTGGACTAGCAGGTGATTTAGACTTAGAGAATTATATCAAAGCATTCCGCATTACTTCCATTGTGCAGGTGAGGAAAAGTTGCCAGTGTGTCCTGTTGAACTCCACCACCAAACGATTTTGGGATTTGGATCCAAGCCCCAAACCCATGATTTTATAGAGACCTGCCAATGGAAAAATGTCACACCATGCTGTGTTGGGGGTTCTTTCTAAGCTAGTCTGCACCTTAAATAATGTTAAGTGGACAAATGCTACAAACACCCAATGGAAGTCCAGCTTTAGTCAAGATGAGCATTGTGAGGGACTGAATGCTAGACTGGACACTGAGAGAAACTGCCAGTGTGATCTTGAGATGGCCACTCCTAAGTGACCCTCTTCACAGGGATGTTGAAGATACAATTAGGAAGATCCAGTAATGCCACTTTGAACTAAAAGTATAAACTCTAGATATAAACATGACTAATAAAGATGCAAATCCACCAGCTTTATGCATATACACACTTCTTTGGGTATCTGAGAGGGGCCTGCTCCTGTGTAGCCAAATCTAGCACTCTCAGCAATCTGCATTGCAGAATGGAAAGCATTGTCCAGTTTCCAGAGCAGGGATGGGATCATGTGGTCCTCCAGATGTTTGTTGGATTGCAAGTCCCATAGCCAATGACTGAGGGGGGTTCCCAAGAGTTGTCCCCAACACCATCAGATAGGCTGTAGCTCCCGACCCCTTGTTTTAAAGGAATGGCTCCCAATCTTGGGACCTCAAATGTTCTTGAAGCAAAGCTCCCAGAAGCCTCCACTACTAGCTGTGCTGGCCAGAATTTCTGGGAGTTGGAGTCCAAGGACATCTGGGGACCCAAGGTTGGGAACCACTGCTTTAGAGAAGAGAATATGAGTGACAGGAGTGAGATAAGTACCCAGTGCTTAGAAAAAGTCTCTCCCTGACACCTGAAAATGATTCTGGCTGTTTAGTTAAGGAAAAATACAGGTCAGAAGAATATGTTGTAAAGGGATCTCCTGGGAGACAGAAAACCACATACATGACAAAGAGATACCGGCAACATCAAACAAAAGTCGACCCACATTTCATAAACGTCCCAGCTTTTTGTTAAAGGTTATCTGTTATTTGATTTGGCATCGAGGGTCATTGTTTCTTTTTCCAGGACTGGCTCCAGTCCCTCAGTCTGTGAGTTTGTCAAAGTAATCTCTTCCTTGAGTGAACCTACATCCTGTGACTCTTTTGAGTATATAAAAAAAGAGGGGTAAGGGCCGTGTGCCGTGTATTCTGTTTCTTTGAAGAAGGTTGAAATATAGAGTCATATAATGAGCACTTATGATATA